CTGTGCCCGAGGAAGAATTCAATGCTTTTAAAGGCTTCACCTGGCACAGGCGCACGTTGCCGCTCACGACTTTGGCACGTGGGCACGGCTCGGCGTCAATGAAGTTTTGCCGTCTGATACACGTGCTGCACCAGGAACAGGGTGCAGAGAACATAGACACGTATCGGAGTGAAGTGAAAGGCTACCTGAGCGATCAGGGAACGGAAAGGCATCTCTTCGGTTTTCCGTACGAGAAAAATGCGACCCTGAACAGCCTTGCTCGCGGGCTGCTGTCGGGAGACGTGCAGCTGGATGAGGTGGGCAACATTGCTTTTCTGCACAATGCTTACGGCATTCCCGGAGTCATGCACATTCTTTTCAATGCCCTTGAATCAGCTCTCAAAACTTCCCCGTTGTGGGGCCCGTACGAGGCGGAGCTGAGGGCTGTCGGCAAGGTTTTCTCGCAGAAGAGTTACACAGATCTTGTGCTTGAATTCACACCTGGCCTGTCAGCAGCAGACCAAGAGCTCATACGTGGGCTGGATGTTGCAGTGCTCGACTGGAGATGGGAAAGCATCGAGTATTGTGCAAAGTACTGGAAGCAAGTAGCCCCAATCCTAAAAGACAAGTGGCATGGCGGGTCTCTGGGAGCGTCCGAAAGGAAACTTGCCGAGGTGATTCGTGCTGCTTTGGGCAGCACGAAGAACCGGGCAATGACCTTGTGGACAAGCGTTCTCTCCGGAGCTGTGGGCCAATGTTCAAGGTGGCTGGAAGGATGTTTTTGCCATGAGCGGGACATATCCTTCAGGCAATCCCGTTCGAGAACGGCGAAGAGGCTGTTGAACCCTGAAACGGGTCCGTCAGCAACGGGGTCCTTGTGTGCGTGGAAAGGAAAGCGTCTGTGTGTGTTCGCCTGGGATGGCCCTCAGAAGTTTTTGGACATCATTCGTGAGGTGAGTGTTAGTGATTTGAACAATGAGTTGCTGAAGTTTGACCAGGAGCTGGCAAATGAGATTCTGCGGACAGATGGTCTAGTGCGACAGAACTTGGAAGCGGTCCTGCGAGACAAGTTCGCTTGGTGCCAGAAGCTGCCTTTCAAAGTAGCAGGAATCTTTCGTTTGTACGTAGATAAGTCTCTGCCTGAGGTCATAGAGTTCGCAAAGTCGTGTTTCCAGGAATATGCTGCAGCTGCCGAGGCCGGCGTCAGCATAGATCCCATCAGTGTTTTCCTATGCGGGAAACAAAGTGACGAAAGCCGTCAACTGTGGCAGTTTGCCCAGCAGGACATCACTCGTGGTCGCACACTGAGGTCGCTGCGACTATTTCCACAGGCGTTCGTGGAAATCCAGGAGCGAGCGTGGTGCCCCATGGCAGAGCGGTTCTTAGAGTCGCAACATCGAGGCATCAAGTGGGCTTTTCGCCGAGGCTTCACTAAGGCGAAGCCTGCCGTAACCTGTGCACGGCTTCGTCGGAATCAGGTCCTGCAAATGGTGACCAGCGACAGTGACCGAAGGTTGCATGTGCTGCAGACATGGACGAAGAGCAAAGCATTGTATCAGGACCTGTTGTGCCACGTTTTGAGTCCGACCGAAATAGCAGGAATGAGCGAAGCTAAGCGGTTGTCTCGTCTTTACTGCTACAGCTTGGCGGATCATTTCCTCGACGTCGACGACATGGACGTGGCCGCTGAAGCCTTCAAGGCTGCTGCAGCAGCCTTGAAGGACAAAGCGGCGAGTGGGCCAGTCCTGAAGCCCGGCCACAAGCAGTGGGTGAGTTTTCTGAAGCAACAGCTCAGCAACGGCACCCTATGTTCCTTCCCCCGAAGTATCTTCGAACTACTTTCAGCAGATGATGAGCAGGAGGAGGAGAAAAAGGAAGGTGATGATGCTGAAGATGACATAGATGATGACCTCCTGTCTGAGGCTCTTGGTGACGAAGAATTCGGACTCCCGGACTTGGTGCCCGGAGGAATGGTTTNNTTTCTGTCAGGTCATCGATGCCCGACCCGAAAATCGTGCGTCTGTGAAACAGGGTCTCGCTGAGGACAAAGGCAGAAACGGGATGCTGGTGCAGATCTTCTCGGATGTTCGCCCGATCACGAATGTAGACGGTGTTTGCAATCGTGTTGAGGTGTGTGGGTCTGGGTCGTCTGTGACTATGCTGGATCTGTCGCGAGCCTGCACACGTGACCTCGTGTTGTTGATGTTTCAGCAGGTTTGTGTCTGGTCTGCTGAGTCTGCGGGCATGCGGTTAGAGATTCAGAGCGGGCCTGCCGGGCCTGAGGAAGACCTCTTCCCTGCCCTACCAGACATCAGTGGAGGCGAATTGGTGGATGATGACATGATGCTGGATGTTTTGAGGCAGCAAGTAGTAGACAACTCCTTGATAGCACAGGCAGACATCTTGTCAGAGAGGCAGGCAGGCAAGGGGTTGTCAGTGTGCAGTGCCGCCGTTTCTTTATCCCAAGAGGAGCGGCAGGTGGCGAGTGCCCTCGTGAATGCCGGTGCTCTGGGGTCGACCGACATCTCTTTGTCTAGGCTGTCAACAGAACACAACGTGCCAATGTCCAGTGTTCTCCGCCTAGTGGAGCGAGGCCTCGTGGCGTGCCACCTTGACGACTTCGGGGATGCCCAGGTCGCCCTGGTGGCTCCGTTTTTGCTGCAGCCCAAAACCTCCTGGGTCGACCCCCTGCCTTTGAGCCATGCAAGAGTGGAGCTCCTCAACAGGTCCCGAAAGAAGGGTACCAACAAACTTGAGTTTGTGAGGGCTCTTGTGCGAAGTGGATGGCACTGGCTCAATCCTGGGCAGGACACCCCTGAGCACATTTCATGTGATGATGTTCCCGGCTGTTTGCCGAAGAATGTGTTGACTCTTACCGAGTCGCATCTGAAGGCTTTGTTCCTAGCACCATGGATTTTTCAGAAGCCGGGGAAGTTGCCACGAATGTTTCACGAGCAGAAGCAGGCGTACTATGATTACTTGCTGGCTGCTGCGGATTTGAGTAGCATCGCTCACATGTCGCAGAGCGACATCACAGCCTTTTTCAGCAAGGACAAAGCAGGCGGACGGCGAGTCCGGGGTCTTGCTCAGAGGCTGCGGGACGAATGTGATGTGAGTGGTGATGAAGGTGAGCAAAGGCCTGTTTTAGAGGACCTTAAAGCCTTTGTAATGTCGGAGCAGGCCATTGAGGCCAACGAGCCAATGGCTTTGCATCCCGACCTTCGCCAGGCCCCTGTGCAATCCAGAGTTCCGGGCC